TGAATGTGTGAACATTTGTCAATTTTTCTTTCTCAATTTCCTTTTCACTTGTGAATGTATGAACATTTGTCAATTTTATAATTATAGGTTTGATCAAAAGTGATGGAAGTGGCTCTTTATGCTGATATCACCAGTTTGAGAATGATCCTTCTGTTTGATGAAATAGAGAATGTCAATATTTTTGAAATTTTCAACACATATCTCTTTTTGCCATATAAATGTTCGTAATTTTAATGTATCATATTACTGCTTTGACAATGTGGCTTTCTAATATTCCTTCATCAAAGCATAAGAGTTAATGTTTGTACACCATGTTACGTATGTTCAGCTAGTGAATTTCACTCGATTTGCACGTAATTTATTTGCAGAAACATTAACAGTAATTTTCTGATCTAGCTCGTTTTTGGCTTTTTCCATAAGCCCATTGTTTTATTTACTATCCACCTCATCATTGTTATTTCTAAAACGTTCGCACATTGTGGTCAAGAAAGTCAATGAAAAGAAATGTATTATTTTGGTCTGCAATGCACAATTTGAATTTGAATTCATGAAGTTTGTGGTGTTGAATTAACGATTTTCTCAATTTTTTCATGTATTTTAATGAAGTGATTTTATTGTAAATTAGTTGATTAAATTGAAATTTATTGTATCGATTGATTTTCTGTCTGTTTAATTTCAAATGTGATTTCAAGTTTAATTTATCCACGGCCGATAATTAATTGGTCATTTTAAGACGTTAAATCGGCTTAAAGTTTTGTGAATTTAGGAGTTAAAGTTTTTGTTCACTCAAGCAAAAAAAACCGTTTGATGTTGGGAAGCTAGAAGGCAGTATCATTTTCTTCCGCATTTGGTACTGCGCGTACCTATTCTTACTTTCTTATAAATGCGCTTATCCAAAATAATATTAATGCTAAAATCTTAATGGCGAGAGCGTCCAGTAAAGTTTTAGACTTAAGTTTTAATGCATGTTTTTAACATAAAAATTGAATAAAAAATTCTAATTTTACCCACATTGGCTATTTTTTTATGAACTACTTTACAAAAATGTTTTGGACATTCGTCGAAATATAAATTGTTGAGTTCAATCAACAGTTTTTGAACCAGATATTATATTCAAAATTTGTAAAAGATGGTAACATTTTTTATGTTCCTCATGGTATGTAACTTTTGGTAAAGACATGTTGGGAAATAAAACATGAATGAGAATTTTTTTGTTATTTATTCTTTAAATAATAAGATATACAAAAATTCTACGCATATTATTGCTAGTTTTATACATTTGCAAAAAGATACGTACTTTATGTTTTGGAAGTACCGTAAATGCTCGCTTTACCGCGGCGGCGCTAAATCGACCATTTAAGGTACTGCATAATATGAATACATACGTAGCTATGCTGTGCTTCAGCGGAATGTTAACTTGTATGATTACAATGTATTATTATAGTCTGTTTTGTAGTTGTAAACCGTGTTCAGATACACAATGTAGAACAATTTTGAACAGTATTTTGCAAATACCATCTCATGTATCTGCTGTGCATAAAAATTTTACAGTTTTTTGTGGTGTCCAGTCTACACTGTGTTGTATTGTTTTCATATATAGAATAATTTCGTTTGAGTTTCATTTTTTAAGATGTTACAAGATTTGACAAAGGATTATTTTGATGATACTGATGACGAATGTACTGTAGATATCTTGAAAGAAATGACAAGTACAGTATTGTGGTTGTAGCTATTTTGCTTTAACTGCAAATTTTCCTTTAGTTTAATGAAAATTGTATTTATATTGCTGGTTTTAATGGCCATATCGAAACTATTTGAAATCGTTTTGTCATTTTAACGTGTTGTCATATCAAGGAAATGTCATTGATAAGGCACGATTTCCACTATACCACCTATTCGTTCATAACGACATCTTTGTCTAAGGAGCAACGATATATGAAGCAAATGATGATTAAATTGATAGATTGAATTTATTTATTTGTTTTTTTCACATCAAATGTTGTCACTGGACTCACTGCCATTAAATTTACAGAAAATTTGTCCTGGCTCCGAGCTTCTGATAGAAGTACAGAAACTAATAATTTTGTTGTAGAAAAGTATTTAACTCTTATATAATGAAACAGAGACTTTGTCGTGGTGACAAACTTAAAGATGGATTTCAAAATAGCAAATACCATGGTGAATGGTGATAATAACATTGTAATAGTTCTTAAAAGAACTGTTTTAACCAGAACACTAACCCAACAATTCAAAGGAACCGTTATTTACAGCTAGAAAGAGACACTATGCATTTCGGCAGACTACTCGTCAGGTGTCAACGTCTGCTAAATAAGAACCTCCAAATCATGCTATATTTATAATTTTACAAAAGGTCAGTGTCATCCCTATTTTTAGAGATGACACTTAAAACAGAGACAGATTAAACACATAATCCTTTTGTCGGCAAAGGACAGGATTATTTAATGTAATTAATACCGACTCCATGACGCGTAGCTGGAATAACGAGCGACATTTTTAAATAATTTTAAAGCTTTCGTCAGAATAAGCATTGGCACTGCGAGTGTTGCTTAAAAGATGTTTTCCAATCGCTGAATCACATAGAATAGGATTTTCACTTTTACACCCACGTTTTGGTAGTTGTCGTAAAGGAACAGTTTTATTCCTGACAGAAGCTGGTACATGCTGTTTTATTCTCTTACTTAACCTTTGAGAAGTTCTACCTACATAGCCAGCTTCACACTCACATTTAAACTCGTAGACTACATTGCTTCATATTTGAGCAGGGAGAGACTCTTAGGGAGTGCGTGGAAGAATAGTTCTTTTTGAGAATATAAAGACCACATTGCATGGAAAAAACAAACTCTCGGTGATATTTTTAGTTTCCTTCTCGATGTCATTAGAGGCCTTACCCATCCAGGGAAGTTTAAGGAAAACAGGGCACTTGGCCGGTCCGAAAAGTTTATTCCGTTCATTGTTAGTGGATAAGGAAAGTTTGTCTAGCAACTTTTCCGGATATCCATTTGACACAAAAATATTTTTCAGTGAGATAAGATCACTATCAATAAACTCTTTTGAGGACAATCTATGCGTTCGCTTTATCAAACACTTCACTAAAGAAATCTTTTCTCTATGCGAAGAGAAAGAGTCAAAGCGTGTGTACAAACCAGTGAAAGTTGCCTTGCGATGAATGCTTGTTAAGAACTGACCATTTCGTTTGTGTACAAGAACATCTAAAAAAGCTAATTGATTGTTTGACTCTAGTTCAGAGGTGTAATTTAGTGCAGGGTGAAGAGAGCAAAGTTTATTAAGAAAAAGTTCACGATTTTTATCGTTATGAAACAAAGAAAAGGTGTCATCCACATAACGCTTATACCACAGCACATCCGGACAACCTGAAAATGAAAGCATTTTGCATTCATGATAGCCATCAAAAATATTCGCAAGAACCAGTCCAAGTAGAGAACCCATAGCCACCCCGTCAATTTGTTTATACATGTTGTCATCAAAACTAAACTCTACACCTTTTGTGGCAGCCATCATTAGTTCTCTAAAGGCCTTCTCAGACATGTCCGGCAAAGTCATGTCCGATTGAAAAAGATTTTGAGCACAAATTTCAATGGTTTCTTTTAAGGGCACATTGGTGAAGAGACTAGTTACATCGAAAGAACACATTGTTAGATTAGAATACATTGAAAAATTTTGTTGTTTAAGCTCATCAGTAAAAGTGAAAAAGTCTTTTAAAGCGTATGTTGAAAACCTCTCCAAAACGGGTGAAAGTACCACTGACAGTTGTTTGGCTAGCTCATGTTGAGCTGAGTTAATCATGGCTAGAATTGGTCGAAGTGGAGCGCCTTCGTTGTGAATTTTTGTCAAAACATACAAACGTGGTCTCTCTGCCCCTAAATTATAAAAAGTTTCATTAATTTGGTTTGATTTTTCCAAGTTTAGAAGAAGTGTTTGCAATTTCCTTTCTAATGTACTAGTATCATCGCACTCTGGAATTTTCCAACAGCGCAGAACTTGTTGTTGTCTTTCAAAATATTTAGCATTTTGCTGTTGTAATCTTCTCTGTCTAGAATTATTACACCAGACCGTATCTTTTGCGTGTTAGCCGCTTCAATTTCTCTTCGTTATCTGCCCGTTCAACAGTTAATTTTTTGAATCTAATATCTCCTAAATACGCACAATACCGTATGTAATCATACTTTGATAGAAAACCCTTAACAACCACCATTTGTCTCACAAGACAACTCTTTAAATAATCACATTTGCATTTCTCCTTATCAGAAAAGCCCTTTCCATATATAAACTATGCCTTGCCCTACTCCTTGCTATCCTAGTAGCCACATCATTAGGAACGACAAAAAATTATATAGATTATTCTCTAATCAAATACTCGAGTAAAAACTGCTTTATATATACACACATCGGAAAAATTAATCAAGTAATACTAGCATTCAGTCTATTTCTAGGGGAGCAGAAGGAAGCCAGCAATAACGGACGCCTACAGCGATTGATTACAATACCGCCATTTTGTCTTCAAGTTTTCATCAGATTAACCAAATAAAACTTTATTTTTTTTAATAACTTGCCAATGTAATATTATTTACATCGTTTGTTTATGCGTTCAATTATTGAACTATACCAACAGGGCGCGACTTTAGTCTCGTCGTTGGGTGAGGAGGGAAAGAGAACACAAAAGAGTATTGTATTTAATCTGCCAGATAAAAGTAAGCTGTATAAAATTTTCAACTATTATAAAATTAGTAACGATGGCTTCACAGATATGTATTCTTATAAGGGAATTGGATTCTTCAAGCAGATAAATGAATATCACCATAAAAAAGAAAATTTAAGTTCAGTGTTTGGAACAAATTTTGCGGCCTGACACACTTTACCCAGATGACTTGGAGTAATGTACTTGGGAGTAATGTACATAATTATGCAGGTATGCTGTTACATAATTAATGTCACATGACAAAATACGAAAAATCGTATCACTAAATAAGGAAGAATTACCTACGTTGTGATACGACTTCATTATCTTGGTTACAAAAATGGTTTTCAAGATCGCGATCATTGGCATCATTTTCTTTTTTTCCTTTTTGGCTAACTATGCCCATGCTGGTGAAGGTATGAAATTGTATTAAAATGCTTTAAGATCTTGTGGTAAAAGTTTTTTTACTTATACGTGTTTTGACGTTTGACAATGGCAACGAAGTACGACAATGTCGAAATAAACATTCGTTGGATAAATGAAAATATTGCTATATCAGTCGATTGGCGCTTTATTTTTACGATGTATATAATAACTTGTCACATTTAAGGTTTCCGGTTTTTGCAAAAGTTCCCAACACATAAAAGTATCCCAACACATTGTCCAAGCATTTGATGGCGATGTCTGTGTCATTGTGTGAAGACTGTTATATTCTCAAGTTACCAACATTTCAAATCTGATTGATCCATTGATCGTCCTTTGATATGAAATCGACAAATAAATCCGCTAGAACAAGTTATTCTTCTAAATTATAACAATTACACTCAATGAATGGCTGTTCATCTCTAATGATTTTAGTCCATAAATGAAGATAATGAAAGTTAGGTTATTATGTAAAACAATCAAAGTTAGGCCAATTTAAAGCATTTAGGTGCATTGACCCATTGTAAGTGGAGATTTCGGCAGGCTGGCACAGTGCAGATGTTCTCAATAATTTACTAAAATTGTTGGGAAATTATTTGACCCTACTGACTTGTAATATTTATTCATTTGTATTCCTTAGTAGAGATTTAAATATGAGTTTATTCTATTTCTAGCAAACTGCACTACTGCAAAGAAATGTGATGACTGTCTCAAGTACAATGAAACAACTGTAAGTAGCTATATTTACATTCCAATTGAGTTATGTACATATTGTGTAATCTTAGATTGCCCTTTCTGACAATTAAAGCTTAGTTGAGGAGCTTTGGGGGAAGAATTTTTTGTGATTAGATTGAAACACCTTTATTTGAGAACCTAACTAATACATATTGTTACAAATTTGACATATTTTTCAACACCACCATTTCTTTAACATATTTTCATTATTTAACTTACTTCATTTTGATTTAGCAGTTTTAAAATAAATTGTAAATGTAGGTATACAAAAACAGTTTAATTCAAAAGTTGTTAAGCTAGGCACTCAATATGAGGTTTTTTCCACATGTTTTTACCAATACTTTGTCATTTTTAATTTTTCAGAACTACATAATGTACGTTTGTGACACATTGCAGACTGTGAATCATGTAATAGAATTGCCAAAATGTTTGATTTTTTTACTTAGAACTATCCCAAGTCATCAGAATTTTTTCTCCAATTTCATGGAATCATAACTGCGTAAAAGCACAATTGATAATGTGCATTTAATGAATACGACAAGTTTTTTTTATAAATAAACATATTTCAACATCTCATGATGCCATCTTCAGTATAAGAAAGAGTATTATGTATATGATAAATATATATAAGAGTAATATGATACAGTGATACGATTTATACATATATGAATAGACTATACATAAACATGGTTAGAATTAATGATGAGTGTATTTACAGGCTGGATATAGTGCTATCAACACTTGTGGTACATTTCAAAACACATATCATGATGCATCAAACATGACAATGCATCAACACTCATGCTACATTTCAAAACACAATACGATGCATTGGTTGTCTATTGCTTGTTTCACTCTGCCCACAATTTCCTTTGTTATTGGCTCAAGTGAAAAACAAAAAGCAATTTGATCTGTTTTTTTTTGAAACATACATAAGTGGCGTGCTTTATAATATATGCAGAGCATTAGGCAAAGGTGTGGGAAGTGTGACACTCTTTATCTTTTGTATATTATAAACTTATTGAGGACAAAAAAGTCGGTCTGGCTAAAATGGCAGGCTTTTCAATCAAATATACATAAAAAAGTTGGCTGAAGGAACACAAATTCCGTTTTTGCAATCTCAAACAAGTTTTGTGTTTATTATGTATATATATCGAATTATGTTTGCCAATCTGTTTTGTTTTGTGACATGAACGTGCCATGTACCTATTTTTTAAAATTTCTTTTATCATTTTAATGCATTAAGTTTTTTCAATATGTTTTTAAAAAGACATTTTTTAACTGTACGATTATAATTTTAACATTTCAATCACAAATGATAATAGTTATTTTGAACCATGCACTCCAAAAAAAAATTAATACACCCAGGGCAAACTACCTTGAACGCTAATTGGGGGGTGTTTATTCATATATTTAGTTATACTCAACCAATTTCTTTAAAAAGCCAAATCACTTCGAAAAATATTCAGTTTGGTACAACCGAATATATGAATTTACACCCCTCACCCCCCTATTAACGATATAAGCTAAGGCCCTAGAATACACCTTCACAGAGTTGATTGAGCAGCTCATAAAATGCTCTTTTCACTCAGTAAGCAGTGGACTCACTACTCTCTATTCTCAAGATTGTCATGTTTAATCTTCAATGTATTTCCTAATGTACGTACGTAACTTTTATGTTATTTATTTGTGATAATTAGTGCTTTTGGTGTTCATCATCAAGTACCTGCATAAAGAAAGATGGTGTTTTACCAAAAGGATGCGGTGTAAATTGGCGTTATTATGGAAACTGTAATGGTTAGTGTGTTTGCATGCATATTTTTTGCCGTTTCATCAGTCGCTTTATCGATATAATTCATTTGCGCAGGAATGTCATTTCATTATTATACATGCATGTAGTTCTTGGTTTTGTCTGGACATTAGTTATGAGTAACTTCATTGATATAGTTCCAGGATATGTTTGGGTCATTGTTCTACCAGTCTTGGGTGTTGTTGTACTTATTTCTATTGGATGCTGTTTCTACTGTTACTGTTGTCGATGTAGATTGAGTAAAGGAAGGTATTACTAATGACACAGATATTTGTCTTTGCATTGACTCTGTTTCTTGTATCAAATTGTGTCTTGGTTGTTTTAGGATAGTAGGATTTTAGTGACTTGTCTTTTATTGCAGTTCAATGAACGAAGAAACAAGATTTCAACGTAAAAGAATGGAACTTAAACAGAAACACGAAGAAAGGTACGAGATATACTCTACATTTACTGATAACTACCACTAAGGTTGTCGAAATGTCAGTCAACATCAACGTTAACAGTCCTTCCCATAACTGCACTAACCTGAACGATGTACATCTGCTAACATTTAACGATACTTCCGAGTACAAACCATTCACTTTATTACGTAATTCTATGATGTTTGCATCGAAAGATTTTCAGCAATTTTATGTGTTGAAATATATTTATGTTCAGAAAAGCGCAGAGGAAAATAAAAAATGATGAAATAAGAAACAAATATGGTGAGTTGTAGACTTGTTCTTACTAAGTTGTTTTTACGTACGTCCTGCTTATCACCATAAACATAATGTACAATATTTTATTTTCTAGATTTTAATTTTAGTTAATCCTTGTATTAACTTTAAAATTTTTATAAAGCATGTAATTATAGATTTGAAATTTTTATTGGATGAATGTCGAATTATACAAAACGTCTCAACCTATTCCAAAATATCTGGTTCATGGACTTTCATAATTTCCTTCTCACTTGTGAATATGTGAACACTTGTCAATTTTTCTTTCTCAATTTCCTTCTCACTTGTGAATGTATGAACATTTGTCAATTTTATAATTTTAGGTTTGAACAAAAGTGATGGAAGTGGTTCTTCAGGCAGATATCACCAGTTTGAGAATGATCCTTCTGTTTGATGAAATCAAGAATGTCAATATTTTTGAAATTTTCAACACATATCTCTTTTTGCCATATAAATGTTCGTAATTTTAATGTATCATATTACTGCTTTGACAATGTGGCTTTCTATTATTCCTTCATCAAAGCATAAGAGCTTATGTTTGTACGCCATGTTACGTATGTTCAGCTAGTGAATTTCACTCGATTTGCACGTAATTTATTTGCAGAAACATTAACAGTAATTTTCTGATCTAGCTCGTTTTTGGCTTTTTCCATAAGCTCATTGTTTTATTTACTATCCACCTCAACATTGTTATTTCTAAAACGTTCGCACATTGTGGTCAAGAAAGTCAATGAAAAGAATTGTATTATTTTGGTCTGCAATGCACAATTTGAATTTGAATTCATGAAGTTTGTGGTGTTGAATTAACGATTTTCTCAATTTTTTCAAGTATTTTAATGAAGTGATTTTTATTGTAAACTCATAATTAGTTGATTAAATTGAAATTTATTGTATCGATTGATTTTCTGTCTGTTTAATTTCAAATGTGATTTCAAGTTTAATTTATCCGCCCCCGATAAATAATTGGTCATTTCTAGACGTTAAACCGGCTTAAAGTTTTGTGAATTTGGGACTTAAAGTTTATGTTCACTCAAGCAAAAAAGCGTTTGATGTTGAGAAACTAGAAGGAATTTTCATTTTCTTTCGCATTTGGTACTACGTACCTATTCTTAATTTCTTGTAAATGCGCTTATCAAAAATATCATTAATGCTAAAATCTTATTGGTCGAGAGCGTCCAGTTTTGGGATGCTAATAATCGTCAATAGCAATGCCTTCTCGGGTTTTGTTTATTGTAGACAAGAATGTTTTCTTTCGAAGTTATGCATCATATAGATACGTTCTCGTTGTTTAATTCAAGCGTTTGCTTCACATAAAGCTATATTGTTTCACTATCAGATACAATTTATTCAGCTGGATGTTCTTTCTTATGCAATGGAAAGATGCCAGGAAAGCCTTCAGAATTTGTAAGAAGGTAAATTCCTTATTACAACTGTCAATTTGATGGCTTTTCAAACCACGGCTTTTAAACCGTACAATTGAAACGTTTGATGGTGAAATAAAACTTTTCAAGCAAGCTAAATAATATATAGTATAACGAGTAAAGTTTATGATCTGATTTGAACATTTCATTGTCTTATGTTGATGACTTTTTGCAAGAAAGTATCCTAAGCCCTAAAGTATGATTTTGTCTTTCTAGCCAGGAAAAACTTTTGAAAAACCTGCTCAGTGTTTTAAATCATCCACCAAAGGTAGTTTGCATCTGAATGTTTTGTTGGAAAATCAGATATATTTACATTATAAAGTATGTATGTGTATTGACAAGCTTTATGTTTGTATAAAGGACCAGTTGCATGAACGGTCTGGGGGTCTCAAGTAATATGGTGAACAAATACAGTTTATCTGAAAAACTGATCAACATCGCCAATCTTACATGTCTGTATGCATTACAATATTAAAAAAATGTACTAAACAGTAAATACAATAAAGCATATTTAAGATGTTGAAGAGTTGTGGTATGACACATATTGACTGTAATTTGAGCTGTCAGTGCCACTGCTTATTCAAATTGTTGAGCTTCCTAATAGTTTAAAAAACAAGCATCCTATAGAGCAAAAAATGTGTTTTTTTTTTCAATTCAGCCACATGTGTTAGCTGACAGTGAAAATGATGCTAAATCAGAGAAAGATTCAGAGGAATTCAGTGAGAGAAAATGTTTGGAGAAATTCAAGTAAATTTGATTGTTTTATTTTAAAAATAAATGCTTAGAACATTGGCTTAGAAGTGAAAGCAGCTTAATTTATTGAATACATTAAAATTAATCCATTTTTTAATATGCTTATGTAGGACGACATATCAAAGCACTAGGGTATTCTCAACCCATGCTTGCAGTAATTATTTTAACCAGGTATTTGAAAATTGAAATCAATAGTGTAAATTTATACAAAGTTATGATTGTTTCACATTAGTAAAAGTTGTTGTATATAGTTGTCAAAGAAAATTTTACTTATTTTAATTGTGATATAAATATTTCACTTAGATTTTTGAGGGACTGGTGACATATCGTCTGGCTTACAAGTATGTTTAGTAATTTAATATTGGTCATGTGCTTATTTCATGTTGTGCATATGTACAAAAGTATATTTACTCCATTCGACCATGGATAGATTTTCATGTTTTTTACGGGAGTGGTGCTAAATATTTAAGAGTGGGGGGTAAGCTGGTAAGGAAGTGAAGAAAGACAATGTAGCAGTGTAGAATGTAGCATGGTCCGGTAGGGCAGCTATCAGAGGTTGTGAAGAAAGTTGAAACATTGCCCAGAAAAACTCAGTTCAACCGTACTACTGATTTCTTTTGCTAAAAATAGGGGGGGTTAAAATGTTTCTTACAGGTTTCTTAGAGGGGTTAGCAATTTATTTAGGGGGTGAACTCTTATGTTTGGAGAGATGGCACCCCCCTGTATATCGATTCATGCTTTTGACAAAAGAGATACTTACTGTATACATACCTTTGGCATAATATATGTACACTGAGTGTCTGCTATAGAACTTGTGCATATTGTGCTTACATCCATTGTTTACTGTTTATCTTGTGTCTAGAGTAAAAGCTATGTATGTAGTCTTTCTATTTTTACAATGCAAATATTTTTTGTTCATGGACTAGAAAAACACTGAATAGAAATAATATTTGGAAGAAAAGAATTATAATTTTCCTGGAAAATTTGCATTCATTGGAAAAGTAAAAATTTGGACTGGCTTACCCACTACTAGATGTAGCTCACATTTATAATTTAATTTCTGTGACTGCTTTATATGTAGCAAACATATAATGTTTATAAACACACAGACGGTCACTGTTCCACAAAACACTGGATTCTGAAGGCTATCACCACAAAGAATATGGAACTTTCAATCATCAAACATTGTCAGCAGTTTTTCTCTTGATTTTGCTAGTCTATATAACTTACACATACAATCACATTATGATACTGTGAGTCCAAACCATTCTTTTCCTAAATGGACTGACTTGAACACACTGTCAATGTTTCCTAAATAAACTGACTTGAACACACTGTCAATGTTTCATAAATAAACTGACTTGAACACACTGTCAATGTTTCATAAATAAACTGACTTGAACACACTGTCAATGTTTCATAAATAAACTGAGTTGGACACAGTGTCAATGTTTCCTAAATAAACTGAATTGAACACACTGTCAATGTTTCATAAATAAACTGACTTGGACTCCCTGTCAATGTTCCAATAATGGACTGACTTGAACACACTGTCAATGTTTCATAAATAAACTGAGTTGGACACAGTGTCAATGTTTCCTAAATAAACTGAATTGAACACACTGTCAATGTTTCATAAATAAACTGACTTGGACTCCCTGTCAATGTTCCAATAATGGACTGACTTGTACACACTGTCAATGTTTCATAAATAAACTGACTTGAACACAGTGTCAATGCTCCAATAATGGACTGACTTGTACACGCTATCATTGTTCTATAAATGGACTGACTTGAACACAGTGTCAATGTTTCATAAATAAACTGACTTGAACACACTGTTGATGCTCCAGAAATGGACTGATTTTGAATGAAATACTCATTTAGTCAACATAAAGTACAACTACAACTATGTATGATCCTTGTACTTTATAAAAAATAACTGCATGCTTTCTTTATGATTGGATTGAGTGTTTATATTTATGTATTAAATTCACCAATAGAGAATGGATATCTTTGGCATCAAGGGAGAACGTCTTACGATTGTTTGCATGTCTTCGTATTTTACTGCGAGATTCTACATATCAGGTAATTTTTCTGCATCGTCTACGTATATAAATACATGCTTTTATGTGTGTCATTTTTAATTACGTATGTAGTGAAAGACTGGGGATTATGCATGTAATTTTTTTTATGATTTTAGAGACTATTTTTCGAGCTTGGTGCTATCAAAACACTTGCACAGGTTTGTGATTTAGCGTCCACGTTACATAACGTTAATTGTTTGCAACTGTATTCAAAATTTGAAAACTTTATTGCAATTCTTGCAATGAACGATGATTTAAGATTTTTCAAGGCAAAGATGTAACTCATCGTTATGAAAAACTGAAAATTTAAAATAAAATCTTTGTTCTTTTAAACTTAAGTTTTAATGCATGTTTTTAACATAAAAATTGAATAAAAAATTCTAATTTTACCCACATTGGCTATTTTTTTATGAACTACTTTACAGAAATGTTTTAGACATTCGTCAAAATATAAATTGTTGAGTTCAATCGACAGTTTTTGAACCAGATATTTTATTCAAAATTTGTAAAAGATGGTAACATTTTTTATGTTCCTCATGGTATGTACCTTTTGGTAAAGACATGTTGGGAAATAAAACGTGAATGAGAATTTTTTTGTTCTTTATTCTTTAAATAATAAGATATACAAAAATTCTACGCATATTATTGCTAGTTTTATACATTTGCAAAAAGATACGTACTTTATGTTTTGGAAGTACCGTAAATGCTCGCTTTACCGCGGCGGCGCTAAATCGACCATTTAAGGTACTGCATAATATGAATACATACGTAGCTATGCTGTGCTTCAGCGGAATGTTAACTTGTATGATTACAATGTATTATTATAGTCTGTTTTGTAGTTGTAAACCGTGTTCAGATACACAATGTAGAACAATTTTGAACAGTATTTTGCAAATACCATCTCATGTATCTGCTGTGCATAAAAATTTTACAGTTTTTTGTGGTGTCCAGTCTACACTGTGTTGTATTATTTTCATATATAGAATAATTTCATTTGAGTTGCATTTTTTAAGATGTTACAAGATTTGACAAAGGATTATTTTGATGATACTGATGACGAATATACTGTGGATATCTTGAAAGAAATGACAAGTACAGTATTGTGGTTGTAGCTATTTATGTTTAACTGCAAATTTCCATATAGTTTAAAGAAAATCGTATTTATATTGCTGGTTTTAATGGCCATATTGAAACTATTTGAAATCGTTTTGTCATTTTAACGTGTTGTCATGTCAAGGAAATGTCTTGGTCCATGTTTTTCATTGAAAAGGACTAAAAGTGTTGGTGGGGAGGGGGAGGGGAGGGTATAGGATAGAAATATATTTGCTTCAATAATATTTGGATGTATAAATAAATGTAGTGAGGGTCATTGCTCTTCTTCTAAAGAAAGTTAGGGGACTTCCTTCCTCCTTTATGCTCAGGTTCTGGCTTATTTTTTGTCAATATTTGTTTGCAGATATTTGTCAAAAACTACCAACTGATGACAAGAAACGCGAATGGCTGATAGGATGCGGTGTGCATAAGGTTGCGTTGCAAATTAACTTTTTTTGTGTTTTATTTACATTGTTATTTCTTACAATACGTTGCCAACTAGGTTTCCATTGTGAAGACATTAATGCAGTTTTAACATCAAATCCATGTTGAAATTTTGACTTTCTAGCTTACAAACGCCATTTCGTTTCGTTTCAATTGCCGTAAACTTAACTAGAATTATCTTCTCTCTTATGTACATTCAGTTGAAAATAATAAATTAATTAGATTTTATCTGAACAGCGGCTTTAAATGGTTATATTTTCTGGTGAAAATTCTTTCTTTTACGCATTTGATATGACAAATTGTGGCCTTACATATTTGTACTTTTCAATCTGTTTATTCCATTTAATGCTGCTGTTTCACGCAAATTTTCTACTTCTTTGCTTTTTTTGTGGTTGTAATGCTTGTCATATTCTTGCATGTAGCCTTTGGTTATGTTAGTTTCTGCAAGAGATGTTATGATTGTTCAATGCTCTCTTTCTGCTCTAATTGGTTTATGTGAAAGGTATATGTTCTATGACATTGTATTTTATTTAGCATTTTTGATCTTAAAGGATTTATTATACCTATAAAACCTGGCATTTGCGAAGAATTATGATTTTGTAAAAATCAAAAACTGCCCTTCTCGAAAATGTTTGACTTCTCCAAAATTAAAGAGAAGAGAAAAAAAAGTTGCAAATGCTAAACTCATCAATCAAAATATTCAGTTTTTTGTTAAACGTTTGATAAGGCACGATTTCCACTATACAACGTATTCGTTCATAACGACATCTTTGTTTAAGAAGCAACGATATATGAAGCAAATGATGATTAAATTGATAGATTGAATTTATTTATTTCTTTTTTTCGCATCAAATTGTTGTCACTGCCATTAAATTTAGAGAAAATTTATCCTGGCTCCGAGCTTCTGATAGAAGTACAGAAACTAGTAATTTTGTTGTAGAAAAGTATTTGACTCTTCTACGTACGTAGGGAAGTTTTTACAGAGATTTGAAGCGAGTTTATCTATCGAAAAGTTTACAATTGTTTTAATCATTTTCTTAGCTAAGATAAACACATCATCGAAACCAACTTAAGTTTGTAGACACACAAGTTGTTGATTCTAAATTACCACAACAAAGGATGTTAGTCTCTAAACGTCAGTCAATACAAACAGTTTTTTTCACTGTTCTACTAATCTGGACGATCAAAACTTTTAAAAAACTTAATGAAGTTTATGTGTTTTTTGAATGTTGTACAAGTGAGAAAGAGACGTCAAGTGATGCATCCAAGGCTGCTATTGGGGAGTTGAACTGCACCGAAATCTTACTTCGTATTGTTGAGAACTATGAGATGCCTTTGAAAAAGTAAGAGATTATATTTCATAACTTTTGATCTTTTTTAAAATCAGTTTATTATCATGTGTTTATCGTTTGTTATTTGAATGAAATGCTTTTTAATATATGATTATTTTATACTTTACTTAACAGACTCTCTGCAAACCTACTGAGGATACTGTGTTCCAATGTAAATGTAAGGGAACAAGTGAAATTATATAATGGAATTCGAACATGCTTAAGGTATGTTTTAAATGCCATTTTACTCTGAATACATGTTAGCGAAATGTTTATTCAACAAAAAAGTATATATAAGGACTTTTGTATCACTAATAATTTTCTTGAAGCTTTTTCCTCTATTTGAAATGCTGATTTCTATGACACGAACAGTTAAGTTAATCGAATTTGGCATAAAACTAGTAAATATTTGATTGTTTTCACCAGTTTTTAGTGCACTCCATTTGCTCTTTTTATATGACATTTTAAACGTTCATATTTTTGATGTTTTCAGCGTAGTTAAAAATTTTTCATTGTATTCGAAGACGTTTCTTATTTTATTACATAAATTGCATGAAGTTACAAACGACTTTAAAATCAGTTTTCCAACTGTACGCTAATGGACACTAGTCGAATAAAGGCAAAAGGCTAAAAGAAAAACTGCCTTTTGATGCGTTACGTCGTCCCAAATTTTTATTCTTGTAGAAAACATTTCCTTATTTATAACAAAAATATTTTTATATACTCTATTTCTTGCTATGGTCTTCTTTTAGCTTGCTCAATTCAGACAATGTAAAATTTTTGTGGTACTTGGTAAGTTTTGTTTTCATCATATCGTGATACATACCTGTAAAAGATACATACATCTACTGAATGTTTTAATTGCCAATCTTGTTCCAGGTGTGGATTATCATTCAGTTATCTGAAGAGCAAGACTCCAGTGATGACGTTCGTTTACTTGGAGGAATACCATTTTTATTAAATCTACTTCAGTATGCAAATTTTATTCATGCTTTTCACTCACTAAGTCATGCTTTGCTTACATGCTTTGTGCGTTTAGAAGTGATAAAGACAGCTTAGTGCATGTTTAGCAATTTGAAAGTAACAGTTGCTTGCATGCAGGAGTTGTTAAAGATATTGTATTTACTATCACTTCAGTAAAGAGGGAATGTTCAATGACGATCAAAATGTTTTTGAGAAATCAAGTGAATCCGATTTTAAAAACTCATCTCAGGTAAAGACCTAAACGGAAATAATTTGTTGTGCCTATCATAAATAAAATATTCTTACTGTTTAAAGATTTATCGACAAAATAATGAAACTTTTTACCTCAGTAATCAGTGTTTTTTCCAGTCATCAAAAAACTTGATTTTCGTGGAAATCATGAATTATATACTATACAAAGGTGTAGGATTGCAAAAAAAATTATGTATACGTAATTTATGTATAACGTAAATATTATGCTGTTTTGAATATGAATACCTAAAACGCATGGTTTGCGTACGTTTTTATCACTGGTTGACACGCACGTGGAACATACGTGTACACAATAATTTAAGTGCGTGAATATTTGTGAAACATACATGTACAGTGTATACCTTGATCACGTACGTGAACCTATGTCAACATACCTGAGTAACAATAATTTCTGTACGTGAATATTCGTAAAACATACATGTACAGTGTATACCTTGATCTAAGTACGTGAACCTATGTCAACATACCTGAGTAACAATAATTTAAGTACGTGAATATTCGTAAAACATACGTGTACAGTATATACCTTGATCTAAGTACGTGAACCTATGTCAACATACCTGAGTAACAATAATTTAAGTACGTGAATATTCGTAAAACATATATGTACAGTGTATACCTTGATCTAAGTACGTGAACCTATGTCAACATACCTGAGTAACAATAATTTAAGTACGTGAATATTCGTAAAACATACATGTACAGTGTATACCTTGATCTAAGTACGTGAATCTATGTCAACATACCTGAGTAACAATAATTTAAGTACGTGAATATTCGTAAAACATACATGTACAGTGTATACCTTGATCTAAGTACGTGAACCTATGTCAACATACCTGAGTAACAATAATTTAAGTACGTGAATATTCGTAAAACATACATGTACAGTATATACCTTGATCTAAGTACGTGAACCTATGTCAACATACCTGAGTAACAATAATTTCTGTACGTGAATATTCGTGAAACATACATGTACAGTGTATACCTTGATCTAAGTACGTGAACCTATGTCAACATACCTGAGTAACAATAATTTAAGTACGTGAATATTTGTAAAACATACATGTACAGTGTATACCTTGATCAAGTACGTGAATCTATGTCAACATACCTGAGTCACAATAATTTAAGTACGTGAATATTCGTAAAACATTCATGTACAGTGTATACCTTGATCTAAGTACGTGAACCTATGTCAACATACCTGAGTAACAATAATTTAAGTACGTGAATATTCGTAAAACATACATGTACAGTATATACCTTGATCTAAGTACGTGAATCTATGTCAACATACCTGAGTAACAATAATTTAAGTACGTGAATATTCGTGAAACATACATGTACAGTGTATACCTTGACCTAAGTACGTGAATCTATGTCAACATACCTGAGTAACAATAATTTAAGTACGTGAATATTCGTAAAACATACATGTACAGTGTATACCTTGATCTAAGTACGTGAATCTATGTCAACATACCTGAGTAACAATAATTTAAGTACGTGAATATTTGTAAAACATACATGTACAGTGTATACCTTGATCTAAGTACGTGAATCTATGTCAACATACCTGAGTAACAATAATTTAAGTACGTGAATATTCGTAAAACATACATGTACAGTGTATACCTTGATCTAAGTACGTGAACCTATGTCAACATACCTGAGTAACAATAATTTAAGTACGTGAATATTCGTAAAACATACATGTACAGTATATACCTTGATCTAAGTACGTGAACCTATGTCAACATACCTGAGTAACAATAATTTCTGTACGTGAATATTCGTGAAACATACATGTACAGTGTATACCTTGATCTAAGTACGTGAACCTATGTCAACATACCTGAGTAACAATAATTTAAGTACGTGAATATTTGTAAAACATACATGTACAGTGTATACCTTGATCAAGTACGTGAATCTATGTCAACATACCTGAGTCACAATAATTTAAGTACGTGAATATTCGTAAAACATTCATGTACAGTGTATACCTTGATCTAAGTACGTGAACCTATGTCAACATACCTGAGTAACAATAATTTAAGTACGTGAATATTCGTAAAACATACATGTACAGTATATACCTTGATCTAAGTACGTGAATCTATGTCAACATACCTGAGTAACAATAATTTAAGTACGTGAATATTCGTGAAACATACATGTACAGTGTATACCTTGATCTAAGTACGTGAATCTATGTCAACATACCTGAGTAACAATAATTTAAGTACGTGAATATTCGTAAAACATACATGTACAGTGTATACCTTGATCTAAGTACGTGAATCTATGTCAACATACCTGAGTAACAATAATTTAAGTACGTGAATATTTGTAAAACATACATGTACAGTGTATACCTTGATCTAAGTACGTGAACCTATGTCAACATACCTGAGTAATAATAATTTAAGTACGTGAATATTTGTAAAACATTCATGTACAGTGTATACCTTGATCAAGTACGTGAACCTATGTCAACATACCTGAGTAACAATAATTTAAGTACGTGAATATTTGTAAAACATTCATGTACAGTGTATACCTTGATCAAGTACGTGAACCTATGTCAACATACCTGAGTAACAATAATTTAAGTACGTGAATATTCGTGAAACATACATGTACAGTGTATACCTTGATCAAGTACGTGAATCTATGTCAATATACCTGAGTCACAATAATTTAAGTACGTGAATATTTGTAAAACATTCATGTACAGTGTATACCTTGATCTAAGTACGTGAATCTATGTCAACATACCTGAGTAACAATAATTTAAGTACGTGAATATTCGTGAAACATACATGTACAGTGTATACCTTGATCAAGTACGTGAATCTATGTCAACATACCTGAGTCACAATAATTTAAGTACGTGAATATTTGTAAAACATACATGTACAGTGTATACCTTGATCTAAGTACGTGAACCTATGTCAACATACCTGAGTAACAATAATTTAAGTACGTGAATATTCGTAAAACATACATGTACAGTATATACCTTGATCTAAGTACGTTTACATATACATGATCATATATGGGACACGTGATGAAAAACTCGCGAACAAGACGATTACAATCAAACACATGCTATGACACGTTACTAATGATTCACGGTAATTATACAGGTTTGAAACTTGCTAAGTGCATCACCTTTTGCATATGCATCCTTTTGTCTGTAAATCATATTACTCTTTTTTACTTAGGTTGATGGCAATAGTACTGCTGAAATATTGTCACTTAAGTCAGGTATAGTTTTGTTATGGTTTATTTTTGGCTGTCAGAATTAATTTGTATAGACATACTTACATGTGTTTATCTTTTGGCTGCTGAGTTTTTTTGTGTGTTTGAATATGGATTATTTATAAATCGTCTATGTTTTTTCTATACAGCTGTCTGCACAGCTCTTACAGAACTATCACTGAATGATGCAAATGCCCAAGAAATAATTCAGGTAAGTGTAATTTCATAATGGTAAAAATACATTACATTTGATACATCATAGTAGAATGGCTATCGAGAAACTAATTGAACGATAGTTTTTTTTTTGCTTTCTCCACTTTGTTGAAAGTCAAAAATATGTGTGTATTTCGATCCATAATTAGAATGAATTGGCAGAATTATGCTTTAGGCCATGTTGTAGATACAGTATGTCAGCTGACAACAACTGCATGTTTAGCGTGAGAGTAATACTGGCTGTCTTAGTATAAAAAACCTTGGTGTTGAAAGTGATTTCTATATTTTAAATATACTATAATTTATAATATAATGTTCACATATCACTGCTGTATAATAAAACCCATGAATTACCCCCCTTTCATAAATCCATCCTTCCCGTGTATAAACCAATCAAAAAGCGCTTACGTGTGTGTATAAAAAAATCTGATCAAGCTTTTACAGTCAATCGTGCATTTAATATAGTGTTTTGCGCTTTAGATTTATATAGCTTGAAAGAGAAACCCTTTAACATTCTATTCACATGTTTCTTATTTCACCTATCAATCAGCATTTTTCTGCCGTTGAGAGTACAACGAATTAATAATGTTTACTGCCAATTCAAAGAAAAAAAAAAAATAGTGAGTAAGCATGTTTCCATGTGTTGTATAATGCGCAGGAAAATCTTCAACATTTGTACTTTAAAGAGTTCTTCTTTTTTGCTTTATTAAAATATAAGTGCAATACACAATGTCGAATGCATGATTTTTTGATACATATGCATACTGCGTAATCTCAGGTTTTATACTTTATAAGTGGAGGTTCGGGGTACATGTAAGATATACATAAACCCACGATGTTCATGTGTATGTGATGTTTTAAACATTTTTTTCAGTCAAATGGTCTGTTCTTGCTGAGTTCTCTTATCGTTTATACGACACCTGGCAAAACTGTTTTGTTGGAAGAAGAAAAAACATTTGAAATGAAGGTAGATATGCTGTAATCACTCTTATTCTGCTCTTGTGTTGTAATTATACGCATGCTCAGTAACTCTCGTGTTGTAATTCTACGAATGCTCAGTAATTCTCGTGTTGTAATTCTACGAATGCTCAGTAGTGCTCGTGTTGTGACTATACGCATGCTCAATATGGGTTTTCAATTTTTGAATGGAAAAATATATTTACGTAGATTACAATGCAAGGTGCATTTTGAAACTGATTTTTAAAACAGTTTTGTCTCTGGTTAAAAAAACGCATGGCAACGAGTAGAACATAAAATATCTTCATGCAAAATCTTTTCTATAGAATTGGCTTTAAATTGTCTTGTTTAGTTACTGATGGTAAATTTACTTAGGGTGTATATTTTTGTTTGAAATTCTCTCATTATTTATGGCTGAAACTATATTGCATTAATACTATCTTAAGTTTGGTGCCTTGCCATTTGCTTTTCTACAGCACATTTGAAAAGCCATTTCAATGAATGAAAGCGTTATTTCTTATTACAATGCAGCTGCATGTGTATGTTGATTCGCCACAGCTAAATATAACTATGTTTAATTTATTTTTAATATCGTATAATATATTAAATTTCTTGTTATAGAAGAGTGCATTGAGGGCTCTTCGATATCTCTTCAGTATGGAAAGAAATCGTCAACTGTTTAAAATGTATGTTAATTTTACACGCTTTGACTGAAAATGTGATATGCAATGTACCGTTATCATTGAGAAATTTTGTAGTTTTCCTGAAACACGCTTTATTATTTTAATAAACACGTCAGTGTCGTATTCAGTTTATTCAATACTTATATTGATTTTTAGAATAAGAAAAATTGAAACAAATGTATTTCAATGTGCTTTCTGAGTTATCAAAATAATTTTATTGCAATTCATCAACTTGGGCAAAAGATATTTGCTTACACTTTGTTGGACTACAAAATTATTGCATTGTGAAGACACGAAAAACTTACTAATAAACTATTATTGGATGATATCAAGAATCATTCAGACCGAGGTCAATGTTTTCTGCCGAAGCGAAGCTGCGATTCGAAAGCCGAATTCAATAATTGTTTTATTATTCACTTCAACGAACTGAAATATTATTGAAACATATCAATGTAAAACATTTTTAAAACTTTCGCTTATTTGTCCTTGTCAGACGGTTTGCAGGTAGTTGATCAATCAAAACCGACATTGTTCACATAGTGAATAATAATAGCAGTTACATTGCAATACATAGATTGATGTATGATGTTAATATACGTTTTGTACATTATTATTTATATTTTTAATTATGTTTTAATTCGGCATACGTATTGTGGAACGATATTTTGAAACAATCATTTCTTGCAGTCTTTTTCCTCCTGAAATCTTTGAACAATTCATTGATGTTGGTCATTATGTTCAAGATCTTAATGCATATCAATCATTGGTGGAGAAAATTGGAAATCTTTCGGTTCGTGTTAGGTCTTGTTTCACAGTATGCTCGCTCGTCTTGGATTATATCACAAATTGTTCAATTCTTGGATTCAGTTTGCGTTATTTGAAAAGCATAGAATGTTAATATAATAAATACGTACATCGAGTAATCAATTTCTTATCTATTACAAGGATGACCAGTTGAGTTTAATGACTTCAAACATTGAGGCGACAAATAGAAAACGCGCTCCTTCACGCACCGTTGGTTCTTATGCAGTTTTAGAACTTCTTGGATCTGGTGCATTTGGTAGTGTTTATAAGGTTAGTTACGTCATTTTAGGAAGTAGCTAATGGTGATCTTTTTTTGTTGGCATCAAATAATACATTGTTTAGTCCACCACACACATGGTCAGTGTTAAGGAATTCTTTGTAAATACAGATAGGGTTGGGGTGATTCAGATTGCGTGACTTGATGAGAAAATATGTAAATTAAAACCATTGAAAAGCACAGATTTACGTGCAGATATTTTAGGTCGTATGTTTAGTATGGTAAGGTCCGTGTAGTATGTATACTAATGATACGTTCTACATGGTATGTAATACATATATATGATACGTTCTACATGGTATGTAACACATACTATATGATACACACTACATGCTATGTAATACATACTATATGATACGTTTTACATGGTATGTAATACATACTATATGAATGTGCTACATGGTATGTAATACATACTATATGATTCATACATGGTATGTAATACACACTATATGATACGTTTTACATTGTAATACATACATACTTACTATATACTATTATTGGATGATACAATATTCATATGATATGTTCTACATGGTTCTAAATACATACAATAATATTATACTTCTACATGAAATATATTGATACATATCTATGTAATACATTTACATGCTATATGTACATGTCATACATGCATATTGATATATATGACATGTTCACATGTAATAATAATAGCATACTGATACATGATATGTATGATGTTAATATACGTTTACATTATTATTTATATTTCTATATGATAATTCTACATACGTATGTACATAATATGATACAATCATACTTGCATATAATACATCTATCTATGAACAATTCATTATGTTGGTCATTATGTTCAAGGTTAATGCATACAATCATGGTATATGATATACGTGTACTACATACATATGCGTCTGGATTATATCACATATTGTACAATGGATACATGCTATGTGAATACATATGCTATATAATACATACTACATGAGTAATACATTCTATATGATACGATACATTGATAATGTCACATTACAAATACATACGTATACACGTTGGTTCATGCATATAGAACTTCTATCTATATGATGTTAATACATATAGGAATACTAATGGTGATCTTTTTGTTGGTAAATAATACATTGTATAGTACACACACATGATATGTTAATGATATGTAATACATACTATATGATACAGTTCTACATGGTATGTAATTAATACTATATGATACGTTCTACATGGTATGTAATACATACTATATGATACGTTCTATGTAGTATACATACTATATGATACGTTTTACATGATATGTAATACATACTATATGATACGTTTTACATGGTATGTAATACATACTATATGATACGTTCTACATGGTATGTAATACATACTATATGATACGTTCTACATGCTATGTAATACATACTATATGATACGTTCTACATGGTATGTAATACATACTATATGATACGTTGTACATGATATGTAATACATACTATATGATACGTTCTACATGGTATGTAATACATACTATATGATACGTTCTACATGGTATGTAATACATACTATATGATACGTTCTACATGGTATGTAATACATACTATATGATACGTTGTACATGATATGTAAGACATACTATATGATACGTTCTACATGGTATGTAATAAGTAATAAGCGGTATCTATTGCATGGTATTTCTTACATGATTTGTTACACAGATACTAAACATGGTGGTGTGTAACATGGTCTGTATACTACAATCTTCAAAATATTTAATTTCAGCTTCTCATCTATTTTAGTTATACTGTCTTATACTTACACTGTCATATTTATTTCTGTTAGGATTGTAAAGCTACATTTTCTTGTGTTATTTCCTAATCTCTGAGTTGTTGTTAGCATTGGCAGATCCAGCTATAGGCAAAATAATTTATAACAGCCCATTGATAGGTTGAATTTATTCTTTGGAAATTCATAGCCAATGGAATTATAATATAGTATAATTGTTTTGTAGAATTATAATATAGTAATAAAGTGTACACCACATTTAGTTACAATCTCATTCAATGTTGCAAATTACGTATTTTGCCTCATTGCGTAACTTATGTTAAGGTGTGTAAGAAAAACGGTGATGGAACATTCTTTGCCATGAAGGAAATATTACTCACTAATCCTAATCTTGGAAAAACTACATCTGAAAGAAACAAGAGTTCAGGAAATATCATTCAAGAAACAAAGTTTCTAAAAGAGCAGGTGTATATTTTGTATTTATTCAAGTTTTTAATTAAAATATGTAGGAAGTACGTAATGCTTTGAAGTAAAATAGATGTAATGTTTAAAACCCGTACATCGCGCCAGTAATCTGTGTTTAGGTGATGTCTTGATTAAATTAACATGAAGTACGTTGTTTTCAAAGTCCAATTCACAGGGTTAATTTTTTTGCTTAGTACTCACCCAGGTTTAACTACGATTTAAGTCAACCTAGCTCTTGAGATGGCTTAAGTTCGTCCTTTTGATACATGAATTATAATAAACTGAGAGTTTGAGGAATAAAATAATGTATGAAACAATGCACTATCTTTAGATTCCTGTTTTTATTTATAAATCCTTGCATTACTATAAAACAGTAATGAATAAACTTAATACATCTCATTAGTCATAAGTGTGTTGTATTCGTTAATATTGAATAATGCCAGCTAGCATATTTCGCTCAAGTTCTCTCTATTTCATCCTCACGTACTTAATGTAGCCTACTGTTCTAACATGCTGTTAACATTTTTATGATGCAGTTAACTATTGTTCACATAAGAATAACATAGAAACCACTTTTTCGGTCGATCAGTAATTTTTGCCACCTTAAGAAATCCAATCTAAAGTCTAATTATGTTAATCCAACCAATTCAAAATTTTGTCTTCATCTCTTCTGCTTGCTTGTATTTTTTCATATAGTTGAATCATCCTAATGTTGTAAAGTACGTAAAAGCATTTCATCAATGTGAGTAAATCATTTTCGACGGTTATTAATTTTTTTTTGCTCTAATTGACTCTAAACCTTTTACTCAAAGCACAAGAGAAACATTGATCTCTTCATGAAATTTTGAAAAATACAATGTGATTTCTGTTGATCGTATATAGCAAACACCTTGTATGTAATTATGGAATACATTGATGGAGCACCTCTTACTGAGCATTTTAATTCACTAAAAGAAAAAAAGAAAAGTTTTTAGAAGACAGAATATGGAAGATATTTATTCAGGTTCAATTTATTTTTCTGTATACAATTGATATGTATATATTACATAGATCGCACATACCTAATATGAGAATGCTAAAATTTTAAGATACATATTGAAAAGACTCGCTCAAATGAGTAATTTCTAATAAAAAAGTGATATTGGAAGCTCTAAACTACGAGCATGGAGTGCATTCGATGTAGATGCTCAAATTCTGAGAATGAACCACAAATCTTAAGTGACAATATTCAAATCAACCGCTGTCGAAACTACTGCATGTTACTGTGTATTTACACATGAAATATTTCCAACATTTGGTCGTGTCAATGTGATAGCATCATGACGTGCACGTCAACAAACTTTCCTCACAACAATCATTTACACTAAAGTGGGTTTGTTTTTCAGGAAAGAATAAACCAGTTTTCAAAGTGACGCTAGATTTTGCCAGTTTATGTGCATCTACATCGTAATTTGCTTTGCTATTTTACAAAGAAATTCATGACATTATGCCGCCCACAGTAGGACGATGTGTTTAATTAGTTTTTATATTCTTCAAGAACTGAAAGCAGTAGGCTGCCAACCAATACCAGTAATGTAGGCTTTTCTGTACCACTAATGTTAGGTATGCTTGGCCTGCATCTTTTCAAACAGTTTCTTATTAAGTAAAGCTAAACTCTTGACCTTTAGAAAAATTACAAGTTCAACAACTATTTCTTTTAGATCATTCTTGGATTACGATATCTTCATAAGGAGAAACATATTGTCCATCGAGATCTCACGCCAAACAATGTGATGCTTGGCTTAAATGATAAAGTAACAATAAGTAAGTTTCATTCCATGCAAAGTATTTGGAGAGTACATTCATAATTCATTACAATTTAGCTTGTTCAAATTTAGTTTATAAGTGTGAATAGAAAATTCAAAAAATCAGTACGACGCTGTCCGTACTGGGGGTTGAAAATTTACCTTTAGGTGATGACAAAAATTTTTAATAATGCATTAATCGGTACGCACTTTCTTAACAGATATTTCTCAAAAGGGTCAAACTTTTTAATTTTTTAAAATTCATCTTTGAGGCCAACATCCCTGTTGACTGCTGTAATCTTAAACATTCATGGTTTGGTTTTAGCTGACCTAGGTTTAGCAAGACAAAAATTGCCTGATGCAAGTGAACTCACGTCTGTCGTTGGAACAATGTTGTATTGGTGGTAATGAACTTATCTCTCATTCTAATGTTGAGCTTGTAGCAATTATTGTATTTATCTCAACTATTCCTTACAGTCCTGAAATTCTTCAACACTTGCCGTACGGTGAAAAAGCAGATATTTGGGCAGCTGGTTGTCTACTTTATCAAATGGCCACTCTTGATCCGCCGTTTTATTCTTCTAATCTTTTACAATTGGCCACTAAGGTAAACATGTAAATGTTTATGCATCTCTATATCTCATCCAAACTAACTCTCCCTTAGAAACTCATCCTAACTAACTCTCCCTTAAAAACTCATCCTAACTAATTCTCCCTTAAAAACTCATCCTAACTAACTTTCTGCTGAAGTGATTTTGATCTAAAACAAGTCGAATGTGGTGCACACAAAATATTGTTCTCATTTGCTATTGAACCATTCAACCCATTCATCATTATGTAACACGTCCACCTGCTCTTTTACCTGGTGGAAAGTTACCATGTCCACCTGGTCTTTTACCTGGTGGAAAGTTACCATGTCCACCCGGTCTTTTACCTGGTGGAAAGTTACCATTATTTCCAGCTTCTTCAGCTTTATCTTAGGACCATAAGTGATGATTTGATGAAATCCTGGTTATAACAGAATATTTTTTTAAGATTGTGGAAGCTGATTACGAAGAAATTCCTAAAGGCACTTACTCCGAAAAACTGGTTTTGACAGTAGAAAGGTAGGTAATGTCCTTAACGATATTATGACGATTATAAATTTATATCAATATCTATTGGTGAGTAAGTTTTGTGCTTATTGAAAGCTCATTAACATTGCTGTGTGCAACGTCATGTCGCCTTCCTATTGTAGATGCATAACTCGTGACCCAAAAAACCGACCGGATGTTATAGAGGTAACTGAATGCATTATTCCTTATAGCGTAATGTTGCATGTTCAATCTTCTAACGTATAACATGGTGGATTTGTCACTTTTTGTAGTTGAAATGATATTCATTTGTGCTACACAATTATACAAAATCTAGTGATACTAAATTTAGTGGTTTTGTGTTATTCTACCAGAATACTTGGTCACCATGACTCCAACACCAAGTACACACGTATCAGTTTCATGACTCTAACACCAAGTACACACGTATCAGTTTTATGACTCCTAACACGTATCAGTTTTATACACACGTATCAGTTTTATGACTCCAACACCAAGTACACACGTATCAGTTTTATGACTCCAACACCAAGTACACACGTATCAGTTTTATGACTCCAACACCAAGTACACACGTATCAGTTTTATGACTCCACGTATCACAACACCAGTACACACGTATCAGTTTTATGACTCCAACACCAAGTACACACGTATCAGTTTCATGACTCCAACACCAAGTACACACGTATCGGTTTTATGACTCCAACACCAAGTACACACGTATCAGTTTTATGACTCCAACACCAAGTACACACGTATCAGTTTAAATATCAAAAGAAACCATAGTTACTTTCCAGTTTGAAAGAATGTTGATGTTGAAATGTTTACAATATTTTGACTATCCAATTAACACAAAATGATACATACCTACACGTTCTTTTAGTGGAGAACGGTTAAAACAAGGGCAAGTTAAAGACATAATCCTTTTGACGGCAGAACAAGGGATTAGACATTCTTCCTTTTCTTCATTATAAATAGAAGTTAATTTTGGTTTTCATTTAAGCAGACATGACATCTGATGAGAAGTTTGCCGAAATGCATCGTTTCATTTAATTTTATAGCTATCTTCGTTTTGGTTTTCAACAACTCTTTTAATAACTACTCAATTGTCATTAACCATGACAAATACTCTGTTCATAGCTATATTTATGCTTTAACTACTACCAAGTCTTGTTTTACAATATCGTACACTAGTAAAATATACCAACACATCAACGTTCTACTTTCCTTTAGGTTGGCTCCATTATCAGTGACGTGTTAATGAAATACACTGATCAACTAAGGATAGCCGAACTCAGCCTGCAAAAGAAATTAACACATGAGCGTAAGAGAACGCAAAGGTTAGCTCATTTTTTTGTATTAGATTGTAATTTTCTTCATAGTACACTCGAATGAAGGTGTTTGCAAACTCATGATCAGACTTTAGATTTATCTGTTTCGCATTCTTGTTATTTTACGAAAGAAATAAATAATGTTTTTCGTGTTTGCATGAGCTTATGCAAACCTCGGAGAGGTTTGTGAGGACTTCCGACCTTCGGTCTCAGGCTTGCACTGATCTGCTCTTGAGGGAGTTCTCTCAAAGGCCTCTTCCTTCTGCATAAGCCTGTGCAAATACAGTAAACATCTGGTATTTCTTATGTGATGAATTTCATCTCATGGTTGTATTTCTGGCAGAACGCATGCATACAGATTTTTTCTTTTTAAAAGATAAAAATTCATACCCTTAAAAATGACTTGAGTAGTCGAGACTGCTGAATTATTGAAGTATACCATTAAAGCAGAATTTTCGACATGAGAGAGTCTGAGGAAACCTATAAAATGATCTGGATTCGTCCTTATCCTCATACTTGACTGGAAGAAATTCAGGTGTACTATGAGGAGAGTGGACATTGGTTATAAACAACTATACAAAAAAAGTACTAAAACCTATGTGTACGTGACTGGTGTGATTAGCAATAATATTTAAATGAGCAAAAATATTTCTTCAGTAGTGACTGACTAGAAATATTAAAATTGCTTTATAATATTGCTATCTTTAGGCATTGGAACGAGGCAAACACAAACATGAAGAACTATCATCGTTTATTCTGGGCAAGTCAAGAACGTTCCGATAAAATGAAGGTTGAATCAAGCAGTTCAGGATATCATAGCCTGAATAATGAGGATAGTGAGATTACTCTAGATGCTGTCGAAATGCTGAGGAAGACAACTTCGACAGAACTTGGTCAAGTATGTGAATTACGAATTATAAGACAAGTTTAGACACTACATTCTGCATGGTATGCTGAAGATTGATTTTCACATCCATAGAGAACTATGATGGGCGGTGTTTTTCTTTATCAGGCAAAATAATTTTTTTATATAAATACCATAAAAAGCTTTTGGAATTTCTCATCAAAGTATGTTTTTCAACATTTTCAGTTCAATTACATCAAGTCCGGGAATTTGATCTTTAATAAGAAAGTTATCTCAATCTAGTGTGATGTGCGTTCAGTTTTGTTTGATGAGTATGAAGTTTATGTTGTCCGTGTTATAATAATTACTGAAATTGGCAAAGTGATGTAATATTAGTTGCGTTGATTTTATGATTACTGCGTCGTCCAAAAAAACCCAATATCCTTTTCGAGTTATTTTTGCTGTCATATTCTTGTCAGGCATGTCTTGAGGGTCATGACGTTCAGATTTAGTGTGAAATTTCAGTATAAATAGTGACAAAACTCTATGTATATTTGGCTTAATAGGGAAATTCTTCCAAAATCACCAATCCCCATGTTGAGGCGTGTAGCTCAAGTAGCAGCGAGGATATTTTTTGCAAAACATGAAAATGAGAGCAATCTCAGAAGTGAAGATGAAATTTCTGATTTGCCGTATTCCCCAGCACGACATAAATATAGCAGACGCCCACTGGCATTGGATCTTTCTTCCATAAACAGTAAAGCTGTACCAAGTCTTATCTCACCAACCTTATCTCCAGATCCAACGAAACGAAGGACACAGTCCAGGTACACCAGTAATACAATTTAGGAGCTCTCTGACGTGTAATTTCTAAGATTGTCAAAATTTAGAAGCATTATTGATTATTATTGTTGTATTATTCATTTCTATAGGGTGTAAAACTTTATTTAATCAGGGTTTGCTCATAAGAGACTAACTGCTAAAATTTTCATCCATAATCGTAAAAAGATTTTCTGGCAAATTCTGTTCTACGTAACTTTAGGGAAATGAAGTTTATCTAATGGTGTAGTTGTTACAAAATCAAAATCAAACACAAATTAATTAGTAAAAAATTGTGGGTATTTTCTTGCAATGCACCTATTGACCAGTCTTTAGAACATGGTTGCGTCTTCTTGACTTCAGAATTACAACATAATATTTTCGTGGCTTTCTCGTTCCCATTCTTGCAGCAATTTTTGTGGCTTTTCCAATTTTTTCTCTGTTACCGCATCACAGCAATTAGAAAATATGTGTTTGAACTGCAGTATTTGAGAATTAGAATAAAATAGCCACAAGTTTTTATAGATTTGCAAACGTATTAATTTTAATCATATTCTAATCATAATCTTGATTATTTGTTTGTGGGAAATTGTTGTTGCTTGTATACTTCACAAATCAAAGAAACATATTTTCATACGGTGTTTTTCTAAAGCCTTACATTTTATGTACATTAAGTGTACCATGCATAAAGATTTGTGTAATCATTTCATTTTTTTAATAATTTTAATCATTCTGTTCTTTTTACGTATAGTTCATCAGTGGAGATGGGAAGAAGACGTGGCTCTATGCAACAAAAAACAAGGCCACGTATGTTCAGAACAAATTTTATGAAATTAATATTTCTTTAGCTTGAAAGACAGATAGGTATTATTATATTTTCGATTTAAAAGCTATTTGCTCTTTCTTTTAATAAATTCACATGTGTGCAATCTCTAAAACTGATGAACAATCTTTCCGTTTTCTTGCTATTCATTTGTATGATCACTATGACATTATTGTTTAAATTGTCTTTATATCCAAGGCAGCGGCCGCCTTAACCATCTCACCATGACATTGTTGATTAAATTGACTTTACATCCAAGGCAGCGGCCACCTTAACCATCTCACTATGACATTATTATTTAAATTGTCTTTACATTTAAGGCAGCGGTCACCTTTACCATCTCACCATGACATTGTTGTTTTAATTGTCTTTACATCCAAGGCAGCGGCCACCTTAACCATCTCACCATGACATTGTTGTTTTAATTGCTTTTACATCCAAGGCAGCGGCCACCTTAACCATCTCACCATGACATTATTGTTTTTATTGTCTTTACATCCACGGCAGCGGCCACCTTAACCATCTCACCATGACATTGTTGTTTTAATTGTCTTTACATCCACGGCAGCGGCCACCTTAACCATCTCACCATGACATTGTTGTTTTAATTGCTTTTACATCCACGGCAGCGGCCACTTTAACCATCTCACCATGATATTGTTCTTTTTATTGCTTTTACATCCACGGCAGTGGCCACCTTAACCATCTCACCATGACATTGTTGTTTTAATTACCTTTACATCCACGGCAGCGGCCACCTTAACCATCTCACCATGATATTGTTCTTTTTATTGCTTTTACAGCCACGGCAGCGGCCACCTTAACCATCTCACCAAGAAAAGTACGACAAATCAACGACCCTATTCTACAAATTTTAAATCAATTGCATAAAATAATATTCATTACTCAGGTAGTACATATTTATGGATTATGTACATCGTGAATTTTTTAAGTTTCTACATCATACGTTTTTTCAATCGTAAAAGCCTATAAAAGTACGTCCTTTCTTATCTATTCTCTGCTTTTTTGTGTGTTTTTGTTGACTTTTAAAAGTCTACTATTCATGTTGTGTCTGCCTTCTCAAAATTTTTCGTACATCATGGTTAAACTAGCTTTCCAGTTTGAATGCGTGATATATTTCTATTCAGCTTCCGCCATCGCTGAAATGCGATGAAAATCGACGAGTTGTGGAGAAATTTAAGCGAGCCTTATTTTACAAGCAAACCAGTTCGTTTAATTTGAAAAGTGAGATAAAGAAAGTAAGTTTTTTAGCTACATCTTTCATTAGTTGTTAACCCAAATTAACTTCTACGTACTTGCTTTTTTGTAGGTACTTGAAGGATCAAAGGAAATAATTGATTTAAGTTTTGGATATGACCAGTCTTCCTCTATTTCACCTCAAAACACGTTAACCTCTCAAGGTACATATTGTTCTTTCATAAATAGTTGGTTGAAACTAATAGGTGCATAACCAATTTGTAAAGTCTGTTAGTCCTAGATCTGTTTTCCAAATACCGCCATGTAAGCAAATTTAGGGCGCATATTTTCAAAATAATACATATTAGTGATTAAAACACATTGAAAGGGCCAGTCCGATTGTATTTTTGTCATTTTCATTGTTGGCTGATGTTTTTTACTTTTATTTTGTTCGCGTTTCAGATATTGTGTCATATTTTCAACAAACTAGGTTACTTGTTTTCTACTGAATCAAACGAAGCAAGCTCCTACAATTCTGGCATAACTTATGAACAAATGCAAGTATGTTTTTATACTACCTTAAGGAAATACCAATTTTAGAGAAACTTTAACTTTTCGTATAATTAATTTATTGGTGATTTAGCTAATTTCTGACTGAAGTGATTTTTTCCTGAGTATTTTTTATTTTTCATATTTTAGATGATCGTTGAAACTGTGTTGATGGAAAGTGGCTACTACGATGTCTCTCCCTGTATAAGGTTACCTATATACATAAGTTCATTTTAAATACTAAATATGCTTGTTGGGAATGTTTGTTTGTGCTTCTTGCTGCCCTTGCTCTACGTCAATATTTTATATAATTGTTCATTAACATATTTAATGACAGACTAAAATATTTAGATGGAATTAAAATTTAACATGCTTTTTATGCTTAAGATTAAAAGGATGTTTGTGGTAACATATCTCATGATATTTAATGAAAACAATGAACTGCGTGAATGAGTTCATTCATTCTTTAAACATGTTGCAGGCAAAATCGTCAAGCTCTGGGTCCAATTGGTGGATTGAATATTCGATGATGTAGCTATGGTGTTTGTGCTAAATAACGGGTAAACATTTTGAATGCTAAAACATCGTTAAACATATTTGATGTACCCTACCTACATAAAATGTAGAACATTTAGTTCTATGGTAAGTAAGTACACTTTTCTCTAGAAAATAGTTTTCATAATATCGACGACCAAAAGTATCAACACTTTGTTATTATTATGTGCATGCTTTATTTGATGTTTTGTACTCGCTGTTTTTTACGACTAAAAATGTGTAAAAATAATACACTGAATCATTGAAGGAACTTCTTATTTATATATAGGTTCTTATATGATTTCATTAACATATCTATTCCAATAAACTGCGCGGATGTTTATTTAAGAATTTTCGGGGGGGGGGAGAGCTGGTGGCTGCAATTATTAGAGAGAAGTGTTTGTTTGAAGGAGGTTTTATTTAGTCAAAGGTTTGTTTTGTGTTCGAGTGTTCTTCAATAAGAACTGAACAGATTTAGAAACCATGCAACAGTCATTGACAATAAGACGAACAGTCAATGCTTCACAAAAACCGAAAACAAAGTTTCATTTGCAAATTGTTATGTAGCGTTTTGTTCATAACTGGAGCCGCTTGCGCGAATATTGATAGCGTTGTCCATTGGATTGTGAATTTTTCAAACGTATTCAAGGTGGTTGTGTTTTCTTTACAATAACGAAACTTTGTAATATTGGAAATAATATTTTATTGTTTGTCCAGTTGAAATTGCAGATTTTTTCTTATTAACTAATTGAAACATTCAAAAAATATTCGTATCCAGTATAGATAGCGGTATTCGACCTTTATATAACCGTCCAAAGTATGTATTATAGGTAGAAGCCTAGAAGTCATTTTTTGCAATTTTTGTTTGACAACATGTTTTCCAAAAGTATCTTTTGAAAAGATTTGATTAACACACAGTTTTTAGCTGAGAAAATTCCCTTCAGGAATCTGAGAACTATAAGTTCCTTTCCAAGTACACTCACCTAAAGAGAACTGAACAGAAGTTAATTTTCTTTATAAAGAATATACCTGTATTTTATGCCATTGCCTAAACCTGCATGAATACGGAATCAAAACGGAGAAACAAAGTCATGAATTGGCAATACCCATTTTTTATGAAGAAAGGAACAACTGACGGAAGAATAGCAGCTCCAGATCAAAGTTATAAGCAACCCTGTTATACTAAACAACTCAAATTATCAAATACTAAAATAATGTTATCGTTATGACCATAGGGTGACCATAGGGTAAACATAGGGTGACCATAGGGTGAACATAGGGTGACCATAGGGTGAACTCATTAAAACACATAAAACACTCAAGCGCTGCAACGTTCAGGGAAAATCGTTGGCATTATAACACAGGAACAACAACAGATGGTATAAACACAAATGCCCTCCATAAGACTTACTTTGTCGTTGAAGAAGATGTAGTTGCCTTGGTGACCGAAAGAGTTCTACGAATGGAGAAAATCTGACGAAAAAAATGCTCGTATTTAAACCACGTTCATACGAAGTTAGCACATAATTAAAGTGGAAGCTTTATTACATTGGAAATTCAATCGTGTTCAAGCATGTTATTATTGTCATCGACTGTCAAAATCTTCAAGAATGTCCAATCAAGAATGTCCAAAATTTTTAGAGGAATTTTTAATAAGTACGTGCAAAATGTCGGTTTTAGTAATAGTGGATTCAGCAAACAGAGAAAGAAAAAAGAAAATCTGGACAATAACAAAGTTCATCAAGACAACTGATTTTCTTTGCACGGTATGTCAACCAGTGAAGTTATGTGCTTTTCAACTCACATTCAAATAACAGCTTCATAATGACATAGTGTTGCAAGAAATTCACTGAGAAATTGAAAAGCACTCTTTTTCTACAATCAGTAAATTCATGATAAAGAATCCTAAACCTTGGCTAATTTCGCAGGTGCGTAACTATTTTGCAATGTCATATTCTATAACCAGAATAGTAAAAATATTTATATTTTCTATAATGCTTTACTCATTTACCTAAATTAAAACTTCAAGATTTTGTCACATCGGGTGTCATTTCATTTTACAGTCTCGTGGAATGTAAACCTTGGTATTTCTCATTTAGAAACTATTTGACCATCCACAACATCACGATCTTACCTGAAAGCTGTGAGGCAAAAGTGCAGACTGAAGTCATCCATATTAAAGCAACTGCTCTTTCATATGCTTTTCCAGAGGTAAGTTTTTATTGGCAAAAATAAATCTGTGGGTCTTTTCAAATGTGTCGGGCGTAAAGCGCACGAAATAATTATTTCCACAATTGAAAAGAAAGGTTTGAAAGACTCTTTGTTTCAATATTTGTGCCGCAAAATCTTTATTGACTTGTACATTTCAAAATTTATATTTCCATTCTTATCACGTTTATTTTTATCGGTAGTTGCTAAGCTACAAACATTCCTGTGTATAGCTTTTTATAGGTTTTGATTTTCTGAAGTTATGAAAGCTTTTAAAGCAAAATAAATTACTTCAACACATCGAATGGTTGATTTTATTCTTTTAGAAATTTATAATCAATTATTTTTTTATATAGGTATTTTAAATTTAAACTTAACAGTTATAATTTATTTTGCCTAATCCTGAACCGGTTGGACCGGTCTACATGGCGTAAACGAACGCGTTTCTGGGTGTAAAATTTACTTGCTTGCTTTTTTAGAAGCAATAGTTTGGAGTAAATTGTACTAATTTGATAGATTTGGTCTATTTATTTCTGTTCATCCTCATTAAAACTTATTAAGTTCTATTTAAAAATAGGAAATTTAACCTGCACCTTTAGCAAGCTGGTATGATAATTATTTGAACGTGGCATAAATGAATAATTATGATGTTCTGAAATTTCCATAGGAAGAAAGAAATTTGGACGCTTGTTGCGCCGCTATGTTGAACAATCTGATCAGGCTCCCAAATAGACAAGGTATTTAAAAAGATATAGTTTTGGTGGCTCACTAAGTGATAGAGCGATTCCGCTACTTGCATTTAAGTATTGTAAAATTTATCGAAATATTGGCCTCGATGAATGAGTGTTTATTTGTAATAAGGACGCTGTAATTAGGCTTGCTGGTTGACTGATTTATGTCAGCTCCAAGGAAAGTTGTATTTTTTATATTTGTATTTCAATTTCGTGGATGAACGATGTAGCTCTTATCTCAGTGGGTAGAATGTGTGAGTTTAAGGTTCTAAAAGTTTATAAATTTTATATAAGATAAATAAATGTATGCTTTTATCAATATAGGTATTATGTATATGAATATATATGTTGCCATCATCATCCGAGTCTGTATCTTCTTCATCATCTCAGACTCATCAACAATTTCACTACTAAAATCTTCAAAACCACACTATGCAGTCGCTTCGGTCGCGCCACTAATGCGCGCGCACCGGTTGCTTTAGTACACAAAAACCATAGATATAGTAGGTCTAGATCGCTGACGAGTGTGACGTAATATAAGACTTATTAAGACGGCAGCGTGACATTCATGATAAATCCAAGATGGCGCGGGAACCGGGCAAAAAACTTGGGGCTACTATTAGGCAATTGTTGTTTTTTGCAGTTTACTTCGTTTCAGTATTTTCAAACTCCTCCAATCAAGTTTTATTGGAAACAAAGCGTTATTAATAATGTTTTGAAGCCATATTGGACAATTATTATTGGAATACGTGCGAAAATATCGCTAGCGAAGTGTTGTGTAAATTGGTCGTTTGGTTGTCTCGAGGCGTTTGTCTACCAAAATAAATGGATTTCGTCTGCTTTAGCTCGTACTGGTTCGTCCACGTTGAAATACATCATATTGAATACATACAAAAGATGGGAAAATTAATCTTCATATTTTTACATAAATTTCACTTCAAGATGCTATTCGTTCTTTCATTCTTCAAATATGTGTTGGCATAACAGACACAGTCTTAATCGTTTCCAAAAGGATGAGTTTGTCAGCTTTTGTCGCTTAGATGGCGCTCCTTTATAAACTATTCTCTCGAGTAGAGTTTGGAGAACTGGTGTACAAATATTTTACTGTACACATATGTAACTGAAAACTGTAACTGTATGGCAATTTTCTTTACACGTAAAATTTCATGTATTGAATGGTAAAATATCCGTAAGTTTTTATCTTCTTTACTTATCTTTGTACATAGGTGTCATAAAATGAACCAACTGAGCAGTATGACACAGTTTTGTCTTAAGTCATTAGTTGTATGTTAACAATGTGATGCAAATTAGACATTCTTAGTTATAAAATTGTATTGGCATTGTAGAAGAAAAACAAATAATAAGAGTAACATGATAATAATAATAATTACATTTATTTAATAAGGATAACCTCCTCAGTTTAGAAACAACTGGTGTCAAGGATGGTGTTTGTAGCTATAGCATAATAAAAACATATACTATAACAAAGTATATTGAGGATATAAGTCACATATATTTTATTCACAGCTACATCTTATAATAATCTGGGACATAGCCAGCATTTTTATTTGGTCATGCTATCCTAATGTTGCTGTGTTCACTGACTGTAAAAACAAGAGATTTTCATGAAATGAACAAATGCAGTGGTACATAGCATCATCTGGCTATGCCACCGATAATATCTATATCAAATATTTATAAGATAATATATAAATTCAATAAACACCTTAGCTCTGGTAAAAAAAAAGTACTTTATACAGAGCTTTATAACTCTCTCCAAAAATTGTATTGTAACAGTATCTTGAGTTATGCATTTGAATGTTACTATGTCAGATTTTGAAATAACCAGTAATATAACAAGCTACTGAACATACATATGTTTTCTTCTCTTTCGTATAACAACTTAGCTGTAAGATCTCATCAGTATAGCAAATGAGATGAGGCAAGTTTCCTTCAGTTACGTTTCCCAACATTAATAGCTTTTCTAAGATCTAGTCAGTAAACAATAGTGCTGCAGTGTTATGTATCTCCTTGCTCCCCTCTCCATTCAACGTCGAATGGCCTTACTAAACTGTGGATGAATCTCACATATCAGTACGAGTACAGTGGGAGTACCTTCGTAAATAAATTGCTTTTTTGTCATAAATGTTCAGATTGATTTTCCCATCTTTCTATAAATTGTCAATATGATATATTTCAATGCGCAACAAACCAGTATGTGAGCTAAAGCTGACAAAATCTGTTTATTTTAGTGGATGAACGACTCAGAGACATATATAACGATAATATTTACACAATATTTGAAATCTGATACTTTGACGTTTATTTGATGAATCAATTGTACTGTCTGTTGACTCACTCACACATTTCATTTGTGTAACAGAAGCTAAATAATTAACAACTAGGTGTGCATTAATGCAACTAAAGATTACACCCAAACATTACAACTAAAAACATCACACCTAAATCACACATCACAACTAAAAACATCTCACTTCACACTAATTCACAATGACAGTAAACAATTGACACCCACACATTTCCTGTACACACAATACAATGACGTAAGAACCAGATAACAAATACGGCTAACCTGACGTTTACTCCTCATTTGACTCTGAAGATGACTACCGCTAAGGTTGTCGAAACGTCAGTCAACAACAACAAAAACAGTCCTTCTCAGAACTATACTAACCTGGACGATCTACATTTACAAACATGTAACGATACTCCCGGGTTCAAACCATTTACTTTATAATTTTTATCATAATCAATTGAGAAAGTTGAAATTCTAAAGAGTTTCAATAGCAATTATTGAATGGTGTAACTCTTTTAGTTTGATGATAGCATTACAGTGTTCAAGTGATGCATTTCTTGTGCATATTGAAGGATCAGTTATCCATGGAAAATAAAAAAGATTTAGGATCTTATTTTTCACTAAAAATTTCAGAGAAAAAACATAGCTAAATTCACTCAGGTGCATAAAATAAATTCCTTTACAAATTGTTGATTTCCTTTACAAAGGTGAAAAATGGTTCTTACCGTTGATGAGGTGTTTCAAGCAGTTGGCGACTATCATAAGTTCCAATGGTTGATGCTTGCTATTATTGGTTACACTAACTTTGCAGTTGGTGCAATTCCTAGTTTGATTGTAACATTCATCACTGCAGAGCCAAATTGGCAATGTGTGAAAGGATATAACAGTTCAATCTGTAATTTTAACGAATCCATTGGCTTGACCAGTAAACATTATAAAGACAGATGTGACATGCCAAGAGAGGCATGGACGTATGTAGAAGGCTTTACATCTACTGTGACAGAGGTAATAAAAAATTTTCTTATCTTAGTTGTTGTCGATGTCAAGTTTCAAGTATATTTTCTCTGCCACTTTTATTTATAAACTTTCTTTTAAAGCGTATTCTCTATGAAAAAAGCTTTTAGCTAAGTGAATAAAATACGGTATAAAAAGAGTTGAATTGTTATATTCTTGTTGTATTATATTGTTCAAAAAGAGTTTTGTTTTTCTCTCTAATTGTTGAATTTCAATAAATGTTCTTTCAAAAAGCAAAATAACTTGTTTTTCAAGTACACACTGAAATATTTGCACAGCAGGAGCTAGTAAACTTTAGTCTTGCTACTCTACTGTGCTATTATTTCTTGCCTTTGCAAACTTTAATTGAATAAGAATGTAGCTACTACTATTTTTTTGATTTGCCAACGTTATATTATGTAGCTGTATGATACTAATGCCATCGACGCTAACTGTGTTTGACATAAAACACTGGTGATTTTAGTTAAATTGAAGTTCTGTGAGTGGACTTTCAAACGATATAATAAAAGACAAAATCAATCCAAGTTTAGGTTATAATGTTCTAAAAGCAATTTGCTGCTCATCCTTAAATACAATAAAACAATATAAACGTGTTGTAATATTTTAAGGTCAGGGCTACAACTATCATAACATTCTTTACATGTTTGTAGATGTAGATCGTCCAGGTTAGAAGAGTCATGAGGACTGTTTTTGTTGTTGTTGACTGACGTTTCGACAACCTTAGCGGTAGTCATTTTGACTCTGAAGATGACTACCGCTAAGGTTGTGGAAACGTCTGTCAACAACAACAAAAACAGTCCTTCTCAGGACTCTACTAACCTGGACGATCTACATCTACAAACATGTAACGATACTCCCGGGTTCAAACCATTTACTTTTAAACATTCTTTGATAAATGATGCATCGTTGACCTCTGAGTTAAATATTTCTTTTTTCTTCTTTGTTTAGTATGATTTGGTGTGTGATAAGTCCATTCTTCAATCAGTTGCGCAATCATGTTATTGGGTTGGAGCACTTCTTGGCTTATTACTTGGTGGTTATCTCTCTGATAAATTTGGTCGGAGAAAGATTTTTATTTGTGGAATTGTTTCTGTAACTGTTGCAACATGGATCATGATTTTTCCAAAGTCTTTTGAATTGTTCATTATTTGTCGGGTCTTTATAGGAATAGGTTCAGGTCAAGTATAGAAAACTTGTGTTACACGAAAATATACGTTTTGTTTTTTCATAGAAACGGATATTTGAGACACAAATGACAATGTGATGCATGCAATGAAATTATTTTAAATATAGGTTATAAACAACAGAGATGTTAAATGCGAAGTTTATAATCTCACAGGTTTTTACAATGCCACCTATCTTATCTTGCTCATGGAGTTTACAACAGCAAAACATCGAGCTAAGATTGGCGCTTATTCGTTCTTTTTCTGGGCAGCTGCCTTATTGGTGCTTGCTTTGGTTGGATACCTTGTTCCTGACTGGAGATATTTTCTCTTGGTCACCGCCTGCTTGGCTCTACCATGTTTGTTTATTTCTTGGTAAGTTTCGACTTGCAAATCAAGTGAAGCTAGAAAACGACGTAACTCAGTTAGTCATTTGTTCTTTTAACTGTAGTGTTTATAAGCGTGATCATTACCAAACCAATTAAGATATTTACGAAAGTCAAACAAGAAATAAATTTATCATTTCTCGTGTGCTATAAAAATGAAACTTGCCTCTCGAGTAGGATTCTTTTAAATGTCTCTTAGGTTTGTCCCGGAAAGCATTCGATGGTTACAACTTCATGGCAAAGATGACGTGGTTAGAAAACAACTAGAAAAAGTTGCTCACATGAATAGGAAAGAAATGCCAAGTGAAGATGTCAAAATTAATGAAAGCATCAAGCAGTCTGGAAGCTATAAGCATCTCTTATTAAGTTGGCATTTTGCTAAAACCTTACTTATTACCTGGAATATATGGTGAGTATGTTGCTATTCATCATTGTAATAACATTTCTGCAGTAAGTTGAAGCTACGGAGATTTGACGTTTTTTTTCTGGTTGCCTAGGTTTGCCACTGCCTTAGTTTACTATGGAATTTCCTACAGCTCCGTTGACATTGGTGGAAACAGATATCTAAATTTTGCTTTAACAAGCATTGTCGAACTACCATCCTTCATATTGTGCATGGTCATTGCTAACAAGTATTTTTTAAAAAGATGTTTATCCAACTGCCTGCAAATTGTCAAGCTTGGGACTTTGTCAAGACTTATTTACCATATTGTCCCTTATGATACAAAATACAAATAATTTTTATAAAATCTGGCTGCTTAGTTTTCAGTTAAACTCTTAATATTGGAATCCTAACATATTAACACAACGTATAGCTGAATGTTTTGGGGCATTATATAGTTTTTATTCTTTTTTGTTGCTTCACGTGCTATTGACCGAAAACACACAAATTACAACGGAATGATTGACAACATTATGATCTTTTTGAGAAAGCGATGTTATGCCAAAATAATTTTTACACATACTGACAATTCACGATTGTTTACATGTTTTTACAAGTCTTTCTAAAAATGTTGTGCACATATTTTTAGAAATACTAGAAACGACATCAAATTTTTTCTTTAAAAAAAGATTTTATCGTTTCCTCTTATTTATGTAAAATTGAAAGTGAAAATACCATTTAAAATTGTATTTTACTCGTTGAAATTGAACTTTGAAATGAACTTTTGCCGTTTAAAACAGATCTTGTATTATTTTAGGTATGGTCGAAAGAAAATTGTGGTTATTGGTCTGATTGTGGCATTTTTGGCATCTATCAGTTCGGTGTTTGTAGCATATGATTGTTTGAATGATGGTAGCTATACTTTAAGTCATTAGCCATACTTGAATTCAAAACACGTACATGTACTTCATTACATACATGTATTAGCCATACATGTACTTGAATTCAAAACACGTGCTTGTTTTGGCAAACTTCAACTATTTTCTGATGAAATTATCTGTCTGATTTTCAGTTAAGACTGCTGCAAGAATTATTTTGACGCTTTTGGCAAAATTTTTCATAAGCATGTCATTTTCTGGAATTTATATTTGGAGTGCAGAATTGTTCCCGACATGCATCAGGTATTTGTTGGATGGAAGTCCAAATACTTAGCTATTTATTTTTTGCAATAAATTTAATATTATCAGTTTTACGAGCCACATTGTTAATCTATATTCATTTCAATAACGAATAAAAATATATGAGGACATAAAACAATAAAACAAGACAAAATTTCTTGCAATAAGATAATATATCCAAGCAGGAAAGTTAGCATGGCAATCTCAAAACCAAATGATTGTTATGACAGTGGCGATCGATTTTCCAGACGGGTAACGTAATTTTATAATGAGCATTAGAGCCCAGCTTATTGCTGGAATATGAATTGCCATTGTTGATATAATTTTTTAAAGAAAGTATTTACTGACGTTTCGTCGCAACGCGCGACATCTTCAGAATGATAATATATTGTTATACAAAGTGGGGAATATAAATGATTGTTCTTAAAGTACGACAGTATATCTCTGAAAGATTTTGAGCTATAATTTTTAAGAAATTAAACTTGTTAAGATAATTTATTTAGTTTTTAGTTTGATCATTATCTTGCTTGTACAGAAGAATAAGTTTTTTTCTCATTATATTCTTAAATCAAGGATAATTTATCTTTTTCAATGTTAAAACATGATTTTTGGTTTTAAAGTGCACCCATGTACGTAAAAATGTTTCAATGCCGAAATAAACAAGAATCCTGATTTTGAAAACAGAATTGAGAAAAGGCCTGTTTTCGTGCTTTACCTTTCTAGAGATTAAAAAGTAAAAATGAACGTTTTGTGTTAGTTATGTTAACGTTAGTTCACTTTTGTTGATTTTTGCCATAGCATACTGTTGCTGGATATGTAATGTCATTAATAAATGTACCATCCATAAGGCTTCAGATTTCAAATCCTTGCATTAATCCATGCATTTAATGTCAGTATTTGTTTCCTTGCTTGTTAATAATTGAAAAAATATTGCGCCAATCTGATGTGCACTTTAATAAAAAATACATTCAATCGTATTGCTCTACCATCTTGCCCTCTTATTTTGAAATTTTTCTACAAGATTATAAGTGGTAATAACGAATCAAGAATTTCCATTGTTAGAACAATGGCTTATGGAACATCTTCAGGTGCAGGAAGATTTGGATCGTTTGCCTCGAGTTACATCGTGTGGTTGGTAAGTGGAAACACAACATTCTAGAAAGATGTCTGTGTTAGTGTGTGTTAGTATTGTGTCAGTATTAGCGTATTTTACATCACATGTTGAAGGTGAAAAAAATGACCTTTACATAAGCTCTTTCATGTAATTTTAAATCTATAAAAATTTCAAACAATTTTTTAAACCTCTCAAACCAATGATGTAAAAAGCCAATTGCATTTTCTTAATGAATGAAATGATAATATTTTTCAATTAATAATTTGGCAGATTCGTGTTCATTCCATGCTTCCATATGGGATTATGGGTATAATTTGTCTCCAAGCAGCCATTACAGCTTTGTTTCTGACCGAGACAAAAGGAAAACCAACATTAGAAACACTTGATGACATGTTACAAGAGAGCACAAAGGAAGTGCAATCAATTGCTTTGATTGAAAGAACTGATTGTGTTCAAGACCATTCTTAATTGATCAGCTAAAACCGTTAAGTGTATTTTTTCATCCTAAGATAGCAATACAATTTAGACTTGTGGACGGCGTTACGAAGTCTGATTTGGGCGGTTAAAAATTGCCACTTTATGTTTAACGACCGCTTATACCACCAAATTGATGGTGTTGCTATGGGTAGTCCCCTTGGCCCCCTTTTTGCCAACATATTCATGTCTTTCCATGAACAAAACTGGCTGAAAAACTGTCCCCAGAAATTCAAACCTGTTCTCTACAGACGATATGTCGATGATTGCTTCCTCCTTTTTAAATCACTTGATCACGTTCCTCTCTTTTTAAAATACATTAACCATCAACACCCCAACATCACTTTTACCTCTGAGACGGAAAATAATGGACGACTACCGTTTTTAGACATTGACATTTACCGCTCAAACGACAAATTCACCACCTCTGTATATCATAAACCCACATTCACCGGTCTTTTCACAAACTTTCATAGCTTTATCCCACTTTCTTACAAACGCAACTCAATCTCTAACCTATTACACCGCTTTTTCAAACTCTGCTCTAGTTATGAGACTTTTCATGCCTAAATTGAAACCACCATAAAACTATTCAAACTCAATTGCTATCCAACTAATATGATCGACCACATTGTCCGTCGTTTCCTTGACACAAATTTCGAACAGAAACCACCTGTCCTTAGTGTCCCAAAGAAAATAGTGTATTTCTGTCTCCCATTCACCGGCTGTCACTCGTTACAAATCCGCACACAAATCAATCGTCTCTACAACGCTGCTTTCCCTCATCTCAATGTCAGATTCGTCTTCCGTACCCCCACACGAATCTCTTCATTTTTTCCCGTTAAGGATAAAATTCCCAAGTCTCTGAGATCTGGTGTTATTTTTTTATACACGTGTCGATGCTGTTCCGCGTCGTATGTGGGTCAAACCACACGCCACTTACACACCAGAATCTCGGAACACTTGGCGATCTCTCCTTTGACTGGAAAACGCAATACTAACCCATTAATGTCAAGTATTCTTTCTCATAGTAACTCCTCCAATCACCTTGCTTCGCCAGACGATTTTAAAATCATCTCATCCTGCTCCGACACATTCGACCTCATGATCCACAAAAGCCTCCTCATCTCCAAACTAAAACCTTCACTTAACACCCAAGGCAGCTCCATCCCACTTAAGCTTTTCTAGTCTCAACACCTCACCCTAACAATACATCACACTTACATCACACTTACATCACACAATACATCACACTTACATCACACAATTACATCACATCACACTTAGACATTCACAGTAACCTGATTCCTCAAACTATGTAAATAGCTCTATATATATCTATATTCTTGTTAACTTCCTAATTAGTCTGAAGGTGTCTTTAGTAAAGACAAAACGACGTCACTCTTTTAATAAATTTCATAAAATCAAATTTTTTATGACTATGTTTAAAATTATTTGTTGGGCTCTAATATTTATATTGAGATATGTATAGTACTACATCTGATATCGCGTCAACGAAGAAGAACATAGCTGAGGCTGAAACAATCAAAATAAAAATTGCTTTGACGAGTGGAAAATTTGAAAGAACAGATTGAGCAAGAATTTAAATGAAAAATTCATAGCAAAGAAGATGTTTGAACAGTTTGTTTTCTCTACTTTTCTCTGGATAAAACTTGCATATGGTTGTCGAAATGTTGGAAGCAAAAATTATACGTTTCACACTACACAGGATCAACAACGTAATTGATGAAATTAATCGATCCGTGTAGATCAAGCCCACTGCGGAAAAAACGTGTTCGATCGATATTGGCTTAGATAAAATACCAATCAGAGACGAGATGAGAGTCTATTGGGATTTTGTATAGGTTAAAGAATGCTGAAAAGAGGAGCAATGATGTTCTTCATGGGATGCTAAAAAATATTCAAAATTTTGTGAGATATCATTGTTCAAATGAATGATAAAATACCAAACGGTGTATTCAATTTTGGAATGATAATATTTCTCAAAAGAAACGCTATAAAGAAGGCTATGAGGAGGTAAATAATTAGCTAAAGAGGCGTAGCGAGGGAATTTACATTAGGTTGTTATTTTTCAATTATTTTATGAATGAATTTATTGATTAACTAAGAGAAGTCATTACACGACTTGTGGAAATCATAATTCATAAGTTTGTAAGACTGAAGGTGAAAGACCGATATCACTGACCAAAGGTGAATAGATGAAATACTTTTTTTGATAGCGTGGATATAAAAATAATCGATTGCTTTTGTAAAAATTAATTGTAAAATTTAGTTAAAATTGTAAAAATTAATTTTTTCAAAAAGGGCTGGCGAGGCGTCCCCAAGTATTATTGTACCACTAATGATGACGTCATTCCCATATGATAATGAATTTTATAATATTCTTTGATATTTCTTTGGCAATCTGAACAAACGCAATAATATTACAATCAATTACAACAAAACAATAACAATCATAATTCCAAGTCGTGTTGGAAGGAACTAGATTTTTGATATAAAAACCAGTGAAACCGGAAGGTCGATTATTCACAAGCATATATTCATATATTTATGTTTTGCCTTATTACCTTCTTTTAAAATCAATTGTTTTTCACAAGCTGTGACTACAAATATATAAATATTTGCCTCCTCCCAATTATCGACTTTCTGGCGTCCCTGATAAAAAGTATTCTCGCAAGGCACCTCACCAGTTAAATACATTACATTAATCTGAAAATAGTTACCAATAACATACATAAGTTTATCAGATCACAAAAACACATAACAGAAAAAAGACACATTGCTGTCAATTTCGATATAAAGGATATTCACCTGATGTTGACCATGTGTACCATAGGGACCCAAAAAATCATTTAAATAGTTTAAACAAACGATAACTCTCCCCATTACATCGTAACAGACCGTGCACCGCAAACTTCGCATTGTTGATTGTATCTATATTATATATTTACCTAAGGTAGGCAACTATCATCGCAGTTAAGAACACATGCCTTTATATAAAGTAATAATTCGTAAAGAAAACAAACAAGAATTCAAAATGATAATTATATTACTAAAAAATAGGATAATTTTTCTACTTGAATCCATACTTAGCATTTGACAAAGACGACAAAAATACAGAAAAATATGGGTGAACTTTTTAACTTGTTTGTAAAATTTTTCTGTCTCCATGTTGGATGCCTCATTCTGGTGCATAAGCCATTATTTTCAAAAAGACTCTCAACTGCAATTGGCTAAACTTTAATTTTTTAATTTCTTATTGAGGTTTGCGCGCACTGTATGTTACAATGCAATGTGGAGAGTTATCTGTTGTTTAAACTATTTAAGTGAATTTTGGGCCGCCTATGTGTGTACAGAACAGAATTAACGCTAAAAAATAGTGTAATCATCAACATTTTGCGAAATTATATTTGGGAAATAAAAAACAAGCATTGCAAACCTTTGAAATATAGAAACAACAAAAACACGTTTAGGAAATTAAGTTAATGAAAAGAAGACAAAAAAACTATTCTTTTAATTCAACAGTATTCGTTTAACATCATGTTTGCCACCATTGTGATTGTAGTTGATTGATATCATGCAGACGATTTGACAGGTCACACGTTGGGATGAGAAAAAAATATAAATAAATTTGGTATAACTGACAATTTGAAAAAGCTAGTTAGTGAAACTATGGTAAGTTGGAACACAAACCTTATATGTCTGGACTTGGAGGAGAGGTTATTGTTTCCATAATTTCGTAAAAGCACTATTGCCAATACACATTTAATATAAACGACAACTTTTTTGAAAATAGACATGTTTCGACATCTCATGATGCCATCTTCAGTATGAATGAAATAATAGGTGATACAGGGTTTATATAAAAGTAACATGATACATAAATTAGAACAATAAAAAGGAAATAAGATAATATAATGAGGAGCGTCCGAGCGTATTATAAACTAAATATTGTATTGAATTTAAAAACTTGAACATTGAGGTCAGGGTTAGTTTTGTTAATGTGGAGTGCTTCTTTGATTTTAAGGGTGAATGAGGTATCGGCAGTGTCGATGATTTTGAAACAAGAGGGTGAATAGTTGGTTTTGCATAATCATCGACACTGCCGACACCTCATTCACCCTTAAAATCAAAGAAGCACTCCACATTAACAAAACTAAACGTTTTGAATGAGTGCAATTGTGCAAGAAGATAAAGTCAAAATTCATGAAGAACGTTTTTATCTCTTCTTCCTGACGAATCTTCAAATATAAAATTACTATCATATTTATAGCCCATCATTGAGGTGGAAGGAAACAAAATAATTGCTGCGTCCCGCTCACAAAGCGGCTGCCTTGTTATTTTAGTTTATTAATATGGTTGACTGCACATAATTGAAGAGAAAAGACTTAAAGACTCTATTGTTATCGAAGCAGCTGCAATTAGTTTGTTCTTCGACAATATCAACAGGTTTCAAAGCAACCAAGGTTGGTAAATTTAATATATTATACTTGTGATTTACTAACTCATTGACTGTGCTTCAGTATTTCATTCAAAACCATCGTTTATGTGTGTTTACGTACAAAGAAATACGCTATAGTGGTTTGCTGGTTGGCTGATCCGGTATTTAAATTCTGCAAACACTGGGGAACGTTTTAATATTTGTATTTTATTTGGTTATGGACAAAAGTATCAATTCTTTGTTATAGTGGAAGATGTTTATTACATGATATAATTATTCTAAATAGTTCTGCTTCCAAAACTTAGTTTGATTAAGACGCCGAGCTTTTGCTACTCATAATCTGCGTATTCTTTACACGCAAAGCGTGACGTATAAGACGGATTTGAGTTTATTTATCATTTATAAAAGATTACCATATGAAAGTTCCCTATTATTGGCAAATTAGCTGTCCGCAGCCGTAATTGCCCTAGACACTGATACGTTGTGTTTGCCTATAACTTTATCCATTTGTGGGAAGCTATCGATCTATAGCCTATAAAAATTTACAAAGCAATATTTTTTTGATAAAAATTAAAGTAACATTGTGAAGCGAAGGTCGT